TGACACAAGTCTCGTACAAATGGGGGAGCATAGGAGGAGAGACCTCAATTCTAAGTTCAAGAGTATTTTTGCAACGCAGGGTCACATATGGTAGATATGTATGTATTTATCATGGGAGGCGATTGACCTGTCTAATGCCTTGTGATTGCTCGGAGGCGATTACTGGTGGGAGGACATGACCCGCAAGCTTAGAATTTTCTCAAGGTTGCGCGAAAAGCCTACAACGCTGGATAAATTGTAAGTTAAATGAATAAATTTCATACATTAACTGATTGAATACAATTTACAAGTTAAAATTTTCACGCAACCTTGAGTAAATTGTACATTCATCAGTTATCTGACTCGTTCCATAAAATGTACAAGTTAAAATTTACCAAAGTTGTAGGATTTAGGCGCAACCTTCTTGAGATAAATTTGATATGGACAACCAGTGTGTCAGCACTGTCAGCACAAATTTTACTCAACTTGTTCTGAGTTTAATTCAATAAAATATGCGCTATAATAGCTAATTTGCCTATATGATATTATAATCATATATCATTAAACTAATATATATATATAAGTATGTATGTGCATAATGCATGTGGGTCACACTGTGTGGGTCACACAGTGTGACCCACACTGGTAGAAATAGAAATATAGTACACATATGCATATACTATAATACAGGGAATAATTTCCGGTATTTCCGGTATTAAAAGTGTTACAGCTTGGCTTTAAAATTATACCCGACCGCAACAATTTGCTACCACCGATATGATTAAAATATAATACCGCGCTATTATTTCACGGTATTACTTGCATAACTTGTAATACCACTTTGATAGAGTCTCATACAAAAAAATACGGTTCGACTTAATTTTAATACTGGATATCTAAAAGTTTATGCATGCATAGATATATAAAATGACGACGTGCTACATACCTAGATCAGGTACGAGGTCGTTCACGTCAATTTCGGACAGACTATCGTCCACTCCGGAGCAGTCGACTTCGGCAAATTCCATCCCCACCGGGACTCCCCAATTTATTCCAACGGTGATGGGGGCGTCTTCCGCGCGATCGAAGGTCATAGTGTTCTCCATTTTTTTAAATGAATATTTATTCCACTTTTAAGAGAGCACTAAAACTTATTAAGTTACTTTTTTTTAATAACTTGTTGTTTTAAAAAACTTTGAGCGTTTTTTAAGACGGTGTGAAGAAGAAGATGGTGTGATGTGGAGAAGGGACGCGAGTAAAGTGAAGGGCTCGCTGGAAAAATGGAGGGCTTGAAATAAGCACAAGTCAGCCATTTTCCTTTCCATGCTGCACATGAGTCAGTCATGGTGAGGGAACGATCATAAAATTCGCAACGCAAAAATGACCATTTTTTACCTCTTTGTAACGAGTTACACCCCGTGTTTGACATGTGGTGCAAGCTGACCCGAGACGCAACAGCCCGACCTGTCCACCCTCATTGCGTGTTCTATGAACGTTCCCAAAAGTGAAGGGTGCAAGGAACATGGTTGCAACCAATCCTTTCTGTTTTCCAGCATTTTCCAGCAAACATTATTCACCAACGGACAATAAGAATTTGATACTATTTATAAAAATACCGAAATTCTGGTGAAAATATGGTCGGCAGAAATATAAAAGTCTCAACTATGGATCTAATGAAAGCGTCAATATGTTTGCAAGCTTATGGTCATTTGTTAGTAGTACAGATATTTCGTACATATGTACATAGCTTAATCGCTTTGCAGGGTTATCATGTGATTTGCATCTTAATTAAAACCAACCTTCAAAATAAATGCATACTTAAATACGTGCACTTTCGCACCAATCTATGTAAATATTTATGTATAGATATGCATCCGTCACTTGACAGAGTTCGCCATGATGCAAATTAATCGCAAGAAAAACGGAACACATAGCTCATGCGAAGGTACGAAATATGACAATATTCTTTCGAATTTGTCCCTTCCACGAAGATATTTTTTATGTCGTTCACAAATAGAAGATTTCCAAGCAAACAAGATTTTGATTGAAAAAGTCGCTCATTATATAGAATAATTACGAAATTTTGCGTTATGTATTCAACCCGATTGTTAAACCTGCCCATAATCCGACATTTAGTAAAATACGCATTTTAAATTACTTCAAAACTATACGAAACGAAAGTAACTCCTAGTTTACTTAGGTATGTTTTAGGCACCTACATACATATATGTATACATAATTAAAGATACATATTTGCACATTGGAAACCTGTTCATTAAAATAATCGATAACTAATAAATATATTTACATGCATCAGTACTCAAATATTACCCAACTTTATCCATAAATAAATACTTTCTCCATTTCCACCGTCGAATGCTTAGTTTCCATTTTCAGTCGACTACAACTCATCGCGTCGAAATGATTCACTCACGACTAGTTGGACGAATTAAGCGTCACTTAAAATATACAGACTTTCACCACTGTATTTTTACAACGTGGGGAAAAGACGGCATCGTTTTGAAGGAAAGGCGTCACCATTTCCCAGTCTTTTTCTCCATATGTCTCCACGGCGTTTGGAATATTTGTCAAGGTGTGGCGACAATCACGCGATCAAAGAGCATCGTCCACCGTGCGGAAGGTTTTGGGCTGACGGTCGCATATCTGTCCACGCTCCTTCTTCGGTTCGACTTTGACATCGATTACGTACCGGGGCAGATCTTAAACTACATTTTTTCAAAGAATGGCAAGTGGTTCATATTAATAAATCCCCCTAATTCTGTGAATAGTAGAAGCTATTGAACTGATATTTTGCGGAGCTATTTATAGATAATTCATACTTCACATGACAAAATTCAGTACACAATTTTGCAGATTGTATTGAGCTAATTCACGCAGTCATTGGAAACTTGTAAAATCTGTAACTTTGGGAAAATTATTTTAGCAACTTTTATAAAATAAAAAGACATAATCTGAGTAAGTTCACAAAAATTTGTAAGCTGATTTTCCTTGGAAATACATTTGTTAGTTTACAGAACTTACGAATTTTACAATGTTACCATGGCCTGCGTGAATTGCCCCATTCATTCAAATCATGGTACATACATAATGCAACGTCTGTGTTAACAGAATAATTGTTCGCAATTTCCAGCCTCATCTTTTGGTCGATCTGAACGCATCTTTCTCAACCTGGTGAGCTACCTGTTCGATCTGTTGGAAATAGGATGCTGGGGATTGTCCATAATGCTGTCGCTGCTAACAACTTTTCTCCCCTGCAATCCACCCTTAATGAGCTCCCTATTCTGTCGAAATGACACCTTTCCACTGGGACCTTTCCCCCACGCAGGTTTTGCAGTCATGGAGGGCGTCGTAATGCAACAAGCGGTAATGGGTGGAAGTTACTACCTTCTCACAATTGTCCTTATTTCCGTCTCATTTCTCTTTCTGGAGTGCAAGATTCTCATTAAGGGCGACGTGCAAGTAAGATCGAGGTCACACGTCACATTCAGACCGCAGAACCCTTGCCTCAAATTGTGGTATCGACTTGAAATGAAAGTTTCATGGTTTAGCGACCCTAAAAAATTATGTGGATAGGTACTTGATTTTTGTCGCCATGACCTGTTTTCGATACGATGTGACCTGACTGGATAAAATAGGGGCTTGAAATTGTATCCAATCGTATCGAGGTCATGGCGATAAAAATAAAGTACCAATTATTTTAATAAGGTTGCAAAACCACGAAATTTTGACTTTAAAGTCGATCGGAGAATTTTATTAACGTCTGGAGATGAATTCGTTGAGGGTGGGATTAAGTAGGAATAGGTTCTGTGGTCTGGTCACATTTGTAACATATTCAAATTCAGTGAATCAAATTTCACATTTCAGAAATACAGGAATCTTCAAGTGTATGAAAAAGTGTTAAATTCATGCACAAAAGGACGCATCTTCCCCGTCACGATGTGGATCATCCCGTGCGTGCAGATTGGCCTGGGAATTATCAACATTAAATTGGGACAATCTAATAATGTCGATCAATTAAGAATGCTTGTCTTTAGCGCGGCGTACTTGGTGGTTTTGATTTTTACCATGATCACGTTTTCAGCGGCGGGAAAGGTAAATTCGGTTTCGAAAGTGTGGATTCAACAATGTAACCGAGCTGTGAGGACGAGAGGAGAGAAATTGTTGAAGAAATCGCTACAACCGCTAAAAATTCAGTTTGGTAGCAATTTTGCTGAGGCATTGACACCGTTAGTGGTCCAAGGATTTTGTATCAGCCAAACGGCAAGTGCGCTTATGGTGATGCATTAAGTAAATTTGCCAATAAGTTATTAATTTGTATCATGCTAAATTTAAATTAAATAGGACGAATGAATGTGACATGTATAAATAAATATTTTGATTGATTTTGCCACAATTTATGCAACTTTGCGTGCTTTGAAATGATTAAAAATTAATTTAGTTGATGGCAATTATGCTTACGACAAGTTACTCATTTTGCATGACAATATGTGCACACGTTAAAACCTGCTTTCTCGCTCCTGGTGGCTATTATTTATTTAGGAAATATTTAGAAAATAAAACCAATCATAATATATTTCCAACAATTGAAAGCCGCCGTTTTAAATTTTTTTAAAACAACAAATTCAAAAATTTATATTTTCGAGGAGGAGTCCATAAAGTCTAAATGGACCACATGCATATGTCTAAGTGATTTCCACAGATCCTCAGTTTGCGTTCGGTTTTGATTTTTTGAAGATTTACGATTTTTATAACAAATTTCATTCGACCAGTTTTTCTGAAATTGTGTACAATTGAACAATCCTACTTGATGAAAACATGGCAAAAAAGCTTTTTGAAATGACGACCTGTTCTTGAGATATGCAAATACCTATACCGATAAATCGGACCAAATACTTTCTCGAGATACCAGTTTGGCATATTTAGGATTAGTGTATGCATGTACATAGACATAAATATGCACCTATTTCACTTAATTAAAGAGAGTGAATTAACACTATGTACTAACTAGACCGGTAATTATTTTATTCAACCATTCATAAATAGTTTGCGCAATTGAAAGCCTATATTAAACAGTAGAAATGTGTAGATATCATTCAAACGCTAGTATTTCATGTGATGATCCATAATTATTTTGTATTCATAATTACCCCAAATATCATCGTTTTCGTCAATAATTTGAAGAATTTAGGGAATCTATTTTTATAAAAATCACATGCATAAATCAGTTTAGAATTTAGAACACATTATTTCATCAATTATTTTAAATTTCCAAACGTGTGTCAATTATTAAATGGTTACTTTACGATAAATTTACACATAGGAAAATTTCCTTTCAAATTTATTTTCCTCTTGCATACTTGTACACACGTTTGTAAATACACATAAAATATGTATATGTATGTGACTTATAAATATACAACATATTTACATAATAACACAGCATACAACACACTGTCCACATCTGGTACACGCCATTGCTTCCTCTGTATTTCCATCTTTTGTAAAATACCACAAGACTTTGCCCACCGTGCCGGAAATATTATCAGGTTTGCTTCCCATCGTGGTGACGCTGACTCGACGTCCTTCCGGGGTCACTTCAAACGCTTCCCCGTTTCTGTCGCCATCGAGACGACGAAGTCCCAACGCGTCCTGAACCCCGTGTTGCCGCATTACTTCAAACAATACAGCCACAAATGGTCGACTTGGTTCGGGTTGAGGGGAATCGGACGCTAAAAATTCGTACGGAATTAGGCTCCCGTGCTGATCGAATTTCCACGTTTGTGGGATGATGAACTCTTTTCTTGTTAAGTTATATTGATCCCATTCTGAATTCGGGGTTGGGTGGGCTTCACCGTCTATTTACAGGTTAAAAATTGTATTATTTTTGGTATTGGAATTTTATAGTGACAACGAATCACTATAACCTTTGACCCTCCAAGGAAACGCGACACTAATGTTTCCATCCTGCTTCAAAGTTTCCACGAGGATTTCGTTCTCTTCGAGTAGAAAGTGGCGATGGTTCATGATTAAACCGTACTCCTCCTGCACGTCGTGATCGAGGAAGATTCGCTTAAATTCATCAATCAGATTTCGCACCCCCCTCTCGTCAAAGGCACGCTTGGCACAGCAGAAATCGGGAATTGAGTTGAAGTGGGTGGTCCATCCGCCGGGTGGGAGGGGGCAGGAAAGCGCCATTTTTCAATTTTCTATGCACATACATGTCAATTTAAAATTTAAATTTTCTTCTAAATACTCATGTAAAATGGTAATAATGCATTCTCTGCAAGTAAAATTTATACATACTTCAACGAATGAAAATACTTTGTTTTATTAAATGCAAATTAATGCATATATTTATGTAAATTCAGCGAACTAAACTTTGTTGAGACAAGCTTGGCAAAAGTGTGGAATGAGTTTTAGCATGTAAAAGTTCCAGAATTTATACTGGGATAAGATGCACACAGACAGACGAAATGCAAAGATGGATAAAAGTTTATATTGATGTAGTGTCGTCAAGTACAATTAAGTTCATGGGGTTTCATGAATTAGAATTAAATAGGTTCATGGGGTTTGACAGGATTTCTTGACTTTTCGTCAAAAAACGAAGACTGGATTTGACGTAATTCTCATTTTCAAGCAACACGTAATAAATCGTGCCAAATGTCAACCTCATGAGACCACAGGGAAATAAATCATCCTTTTAACTTGTTTGTTTAAGTTCGAATGTGGGCAGCGTACACATCTTCATGTGTACATTTAGACAATCTCTGACCAAATGTTTACCCACCTAAGATTATGTATGTAGTGCATTAATGGGCTTAATGAACCTACATATGTACCCATCTTTAGTCCATGGGAATCAATGTGATTCTTACTTTTTAAGTGCAAATAATATACATGAAATCGTAGACTGGAGGTGATGTAATTCTTACTTGGAGCTTTTTTAAATAAAAAATATAAAATAAAATATTTACATAAGCATGACAATTAAGCACTGTTCTTAAATTGGTGCATATGTACATGCATATATAATAGGGAATTATGTATGTGTGCATAATGCTTAACTTATTTGCTTCCTATGCCATCCATGCAGAAATAGTTGCCATGGATACAAATCGACGGATCTTGGTTAAAAGTATATGCATGTACGTGTACGTATCTCACCAAGTTTAACAGAAATTTGTGTAGGAGTTAATGAGATCCAGTTTATTATTGCGGATGAGATACAAGTCATATCTGTTCGTACAAAAGTATTACGTATGTTTGCAGTTTACTTAGATTCCAGTCCGCCTCCACCCTCCGTTAGGTAGCTGGCATTAAGGATGTGGGTTACAATGGACATTAAATTGTAAAACGTGAAATGTGTGCATGCACATTCAAGGGTCAATACGTACGAGAAGAAAAAATTAACCAAGTTTTGGACCACACCCACTTGCAATGTTTAGGGGGAGGTATTCTATTTAAATTGTATAAGCCATCATTTGACAATGCGAACTTTTGAGAAAAGCTAATTGCGAGGTGTGATTTTTTGCAAACTTTTTTTTTCAGTATATATTAATACATAGTTTAATACATAGTTAATAAATTGGGGTCTTTATTTCCTGCAAAATTGCATAGTGAGATAAATGGGAAATAATATTAGATTATGTATGAATTAAACATGTATGTATGAATAAGTAAGCATACCAAATTTCGCTTGTCCTTTGTAATTCCGTTGAAATTTTCATACCCTTCTTAATTCAATTTTAATTCGACATCCTTAATGTCCTGCCCCACAAGCTGGAAGGGGGATTTCAAGGTTATATTAATCCAGATATGTTTCCATGCATCCTGTTGACTACAATGAGCCAGGGTTTCATAGAATTTTTTTTACAAAACCTTTGATAAAATTCAGGAATCATTTTTCACGCTAAATTCAAGATTCTTTGTAGAAAATTTTAATGTTATCAGTTAAAAATGCATAAAACAAACAAGCAACATGCAGTGTTAGAACCCTGATTCCATGAAGCACCACTCACCCTCTAACACATGAATAATATTGTGTAAGGTAAAACACTGTCATGAGAGTGAGCTCAACGTGAACTTGGAACTTGGCTCATGGGATTTGATGGATAAAGAATTGCAATGTAGGAGCAAGTTGGATATAAATTTGCGCAGTAGTTTTCCAGCTAGTTCCGGCTGATGGTACCAATTTCCTCCGTTATCAATTGATTTCCTGGAAGTACGTACGTAAAATTTCCCAATAACAAACTAGCAGAACTTAAAACATTACACAAAAACTCAAATTTTGTGTCATACAGATAAAATTGAGCATAAAATTATAAATAACTTCGCCCCCGTGAAATTTATAATTGTCGGAAGTATGTTGGCTTCCGTCTTAGCTGCCGGGTTGGACACCCTGATTACGGGAAACAATAGCAACTCTAAAATAAGTGGGGACAACAATTCGGGAAATGTTGAGGGGAATTCGAACACGAAATTACTCAGTGAATCGTCTAAACTAAGCATTTTCAATAATTCAAATTCTAACCTCAACTTTGCAAATGTTTCCGCAAAATTGACCAACTCGAGTAACAGTCATGTTACGTGGAAAAATGGAGATCTGAATGTGGACAATTGCTCTAATTCAGAGGTATGTACATGCATAAACTAGTAAATAAAAGCCTTATGTAAAAATACATATATATCGAAGAATAAGGCAATTCATTTGTAACTTGTAAAATCTGTAACTTTTGTGAAATAATTTTAACAAATTTTACAAAATACAAAGATGCTCTTGACCTTAGCAAGTTTACAAAAATTGTAACCAATTTTTCATTCGAAATACACATATCGAAAGTTTTTGAAAACTTTACGGATTTTATTATGTTGCCAAGGATTTCATGAATTGCATCATCTTTTTAGCGTCAAAAAAATATGCAGAAATTATTTGGTTATGACGCTATCAAATTTTTAATTTTCAGCTTAATGGCGACCTGGTCGATGGAAAATGCAACTTTAGCTCGAATTCAAATTTTAAATTTGTTGGAAAGGGCGCAGTTTCCTGTGAATTTAAGGAAAATTCAAATACGGATGCAACCCTTTCGGAAGGTGGATCTGTCAAGGCGGTGGACAATTCTAACCTAAAAATCAGTGGGGGCAGTCAAAATCTGCAAGTCGAGGGGACATCAAACTTGCATATTAGAAGCACTCCGTTTCGGTACATAAATAATTTTCCGTTTGAATAATCGGTAAAAAATGCATAATTAATTTGCACTATTTTTTTTTACAGAAATCGATTTCAAGTCGTGCAGCGAAACAATTGGTTCAACTGGCTGCCTAGTTTTGGACGAGCAGCATCATCCGAGTGTAAGTTGGAGAATCTCACGTACGAGTTGGATTATGCCAAGACAGGAAAAATTATAGGATCGAAATATTTGGCGGGGGATTTTTCCTTTGACGTGACCACCTCCAAAGATGAGGTCAAAGTTCAGCTCAGCCCGGATGGAAACCCGAGGGATGTCAGGATTGATAAGGTTAACGGGAAAAGCGTGCTATTTTCGGGAACGGGAGCGGATGGAAATCGCCAAGAGTTGGAGATTCAAGGACCCAAAACCGTTTCCGTGAAGGAGGATGAGAAAACCGTGGTGATCAACTTGTGTGATATGGCTGGCCTGTAATTTAAATCTTTCAAATATTTAATATTTAATTTTAAATATTTAATTACATTTTTTCAAAGAATGGCAAGTGGTTGATATTAATATATAAATCTCTCTAATTCTGTGAATAGTAGAAGCTATTGAACTGATATTTTTACGGAGCTATTTATAATTCATACTTTACATGACAAAATTCAGTACAAAATTTTGCAGATTATATTGAAGAAATTCACATAGTCATTGGAAACTTGTAAAATCTGTAAGTTTAGGAAAATTAGTATTTTGGGTATTTGATTGAACATTTTACATAAATATTTCGGGGTTTTTAAGAACATATTTATCCGGACTCTGGTAATATGTTAAGGAGTAGGAAAAGACCAGTATTTTCCGAAACATAAATATGAGGTGTGCCCAAGTCAAATGTTGTGTTGCAACATTCCAGTAGGTGTGCCTTTGTGAAAATCTTTAAAATGACGCACTTCCCTTAAGAAGATTTTCAATATTGGACGGACAGAGTCTGGTCGCCAGACTAAAATATAACTTTAAATCTCGTGGCACAAGGCCATTGCAATTTAGTTAATTTTGTAACTTTGCAAGGGTCCTTTCCTTGCAAACTAAAATATTGTAATCTTAAAGTAAACGTAAAGTTTGTTCAAACCAGACTATAGAAATTTTCCACATCGCTTACGGAATTTTGAACGTATGTATGTATGTAAATAAATATGCGTACTTTCCAGAAAACTAATTGTAAGTCTGGAAATTATACATTTGCATACATAGGGTTCCATAGGAAAGTAAAGAAACACTTGAAAAAGTATATTTATTTGTCTGAAAGAAAATTTGTCACTGAGTTGGAACGCGGTAGTTTTGTAGTCCATGCGATTGACTATCCAAATCAGAAAACCGGAAGTCGATATCTCGATTAGTTCAAAAATGAGAACAAAAAATTCAGAGGAACTCGCAAAAAAATTTTGCCACTACTACGAAAAAGTGTGCGAGCGCGTCCGGATAATGGTTAATAGCCACTTCGAAAAAGAAAAAATTCATAATGGGGCAATTTGCAGAGTTTTAGATATGTATGAGGGGAGGAGGAATGCTGAATTCAAAAAATTAAAAAATCGCCCTGCTCGTGTAGCGACCCCCAAAGTGATACGTAGAGTTCAGAAGGAAAACAAAAATAACCTTGGGATATCAGATAGTAATTTGGGCTACAAATTGAAAATATCAAAATTAAGTTTACATGACATTAAACCTACGAAGTTGGGGGTCAAATTCTATAGGGCGACATCTGCACCAAAGTACAACCAAGGTCAGCAAAAAAGAGCAAAGTCCAACTCTCGGCAGAATGCTGAAAAACGAGTCAAGCAAAACATGCCCGTGATTCTGGTCATAAACGATGAGACCAATTGCTCGAATGATCCAGATGAAGTCCCTGGGAGGAAGTACTACTCATGTACTAATAAGAAAACGTTTAAAGATTCCTTCAAATCCCGTGCGTTTCTGAGACTTGGGATCCATTGGGGAATCTGAACAGTAGATGGATCCTATAGGATCCCTTATGATTACAGTATATTTCCAATAAGATGTGATGCATATATGCATTTCATGTAAAAAATCCAATTGGAAATTTTTATACAGGAAAATGACTGCTAGGTCCCCAATGGAATTGCTAACGTTAACGGGATCTGATTGGAACATACTTGCATTACAAAACTCAATATCCCATCTGAATTAATCATATTGGATTTAGACGAAAAGGCATGAAATATATCAAGCATCCCCGATAAATACGTACTGATTGGCATATTTGGAATTCACTCCTCGTCATGCTTTTTTAGTTTCTCTTTGGTCAGCCTAAATTACTCGCTCTGGTCAATTTTCTATTCTTTGAAATATACCTGCGGTGACATGACCCACGCCGTCGTATGTTGGGAGGACGAAAACTATTTTGAATTCGGAACAACGTTCGAAGATGTATCGACCCTATCCGATTTAAAGCATTAAAGGGTGAGCTTGATATTTATCATATTATTGATCTTTATGGTTAAAAAAAACATGAAAAAACCTAAAAGAAAATGTACTGTTTTTTATAGATTACACAACGGAAATTTTCGGCCTGAAGCCAAATACTGTTGAGTGGTTAACTTTTGAAAAGAAGCTTCACAATATTCCTGGGGATGCCAGAAAGAAGATGAATCGTCTCACAGGTCTGGCTGGAAATTCTACGATCACGTCGCCGGAATTCAGTTGTTCGAATTCCGATGATTTAGAAACGAGAGTTGAGGAGTATCTCAACTTGGTAGGGGAGAATTAAGAATAGTATAAAATTTATTAATTGGATTCTTGTATAAATAAATACATTGAGTTTTTAATAGTCGATATTTTGTTTTTGTTCTGGGATTTATTTTAAGATATCCAAAGGGAATTTTGATGGTTTTCATATATTATATTATCATACTGGATACTGTTCACCGATATCATATATGCCGAAGTGGAATTTTTCTGCTAAAATTTCGAATGGGAATCAATGGGTTCGTATTTGAGAAAAGTGATGGGGAATCCTTCCCATTTTCCCAACACTGTTTCCCATTGGGCTCTCCCTAATGGAAACAGTGGGAATGAACTGCACGGGATACACGCCGAAGTCAAAATTCCCCATAAAGCACATAATCGGGCAAGCATTGGACTCATTGGGGGACGTCTCAAAGCCGTTCGTGACCACAGCCACCATGACCTCAGAGAGATATCTGAACGAGTGTGTAAAGATCTTGATGTCCTTTATCAATAATCGTAATGTACTTTTCTGACCGGACACAGCAACATGTCATTCTTCAAAAGTTGTTCTGGACTACCTGCGGTCGAAAAAAATCGATTTTGTTGCAAAAAAGGAATATGCTCCCTACGTCCCTCGGGCAAGACCAATTGAACGATTTTGGGCATTATGCAAGAGAGAATATAGTCGTCGAACAAAACCACCCAAAAAGTTGGGAAGATTCCGTCACATTTGGACATACACCTCAAAAGTGGTAGCGAGAAAGAGTGGCAAAGCACTTTTGGGGACCGCGAGGCAAATAATTCGCCAGATAGGAAGGATGGGGGTCTATGGACCATATGAAGCAAAAAATTGAACGATAAGGACCTTGTTCTTAACCCTTAAAAGTGTCATTGGAATTAATTAAGTTTTCCGGATTTTACAGGCATTTTTCAAATGTTTCTTTACTTTCCTACCGACCCTAACTGAACGACAAAACGCGCGTCAAGCTTTTCCCAGAATCGAAGTTCATTCTACGCATTTACATACGTATAAACTTGTCGGATATTTCCAGACGAAACATTGGCTGACATTTACAAAAAAATGATGGATGGACAAGACAATCTCCATTTGCTGCGTATATGTTGTGTTTATCCGGCTTACACTTGATATGTATGTACATATGTAGATATGTATTTATGTACCTGCATAGCATACACACACCAGACAATGAAACATGCAAAAATCCCTCATGAAACCGGACTTTTTAAAACTATTGGAAATTTTGACGTTATCGGTACAAATTCCCCGTCGGAGAAAAACGTCTGCACGTTTTATTCATTTGCTTATCATGGTGCATGTTTTTAGTGGAAGAATAAGTATAAAAGGGATCCTTTATGAAACCGGACTTTTGAAATTGATCGGAAAATTTAGGCTGTTATCTTCCCACTTGCCACTCGTGCAGAAATTCTGGAGAATATACATACGACTGGACGATTTAGATATGATTATCATGGTCCACCGACGAATATAAAAGCGAGGCATTTTCCTCTGCAAATTATCAATCCCAGACAACACGTCCAACTCCAATCATCTTATCCAACCAACCTCAGCATGAAATCTGTAACAATTATTCTCCTCCTCGGCGTCATCGCCTTGGCTTTGGGTGAGTACGAAAAATCATATTTCGAAAATAGCTTGAACTTTGCAAAATTTGAATTTCAGCCATGCCCAAATTGGACAAAATGGCCGCGGCCGACCCTCGCTTGATCGTGGGGGGCGTGGAAGCTACGAGGAACGAGTTTCCCTTCATGATTGACGTGCGAGTGGGTGGTCATTATTGCGGGGGGTCATTATTGCGGGGGGTCAATCGTGTCCCCAGATTGGATTGTTACAGCCGCTCATTGCGCCGAATTGGCGGCAAACCGGTACACCCTTGTCGCGGGGGATCACAACCTGACCTTAAACGAGGGGACGGAACAGAGTCGTAGCGTTGCTGCCATAGTGAGACATCCAGGCTACGATAGGTAAGTAACGGGAATTAACGTTGACAATTTTATGTAAATCAACAAAGAGATCAAATTCATCGGTCGCGCGCTGCCGGTAGAATTTTATCCGGTGCCGATCTCGCGCCGCCGGTCGCATGTTGATAACATGATATCCCCCGGTCTGGGGTAACCAGACTTATCGGCATCCGCTGCGATAAGTCTGGTTACCTCTCCCATCAATATGCCGATGCCACCGAAAAATTACCAAAGTTGGAACCGCCGCCGCCCTAAAATTGGTTGGCGTTGACTTTTAAACCAATCCTGGAAATTATGCATTAATAACAAATTTGAAAATTTGTGATAACTGTTGAAAATAACTACGCACTTATTTTTGCTACATTTTTAGACCTACCACTTACAACAACGATATCGCCCTGATGCGAGTCGATCGTCCCTTCGAATTTAACGAATTTGTCGGCCCAGTTGTCATCCCAGAGCTTGACTTTGTCCCAACTGGTGAATAAAGAACTATAAAAACCCCTAATTCTAAACTGATTTTTTTCTTGTATTTAATATCAGACTTGGCCACCGTGGCGGGATGGGGTATGCTGTCTTTTCCTTTCGGGCGCTATCCCGATGTCCTTATGAAGGTCGAAGTCCCCCTCGTTGAGCAAGAGACCTGCCGAATCGCCAACATTGGAGTTGGCGCCGTCACTGGTCTGCTATGGGGTTGCAGCAAAGGATTCGTGCAAAGCTGGTGGGTCCATTGTTATAGCAATTTTGGTCAATTTTGATTTCAATTTTGGCCTATTCTGTGGTCAATTATATACAAAAAACATACATCGTTTCCACACTTTGTACCAGATTCTGGCGGTCCATTGATGTGCGGATCGGACAATGCGCTATGTGGGATCGTTTCTTGGGGCAAGGGGTGTGCCGAGGACGGATTTCCGGGAGTGTAAGGAGATCCATGATTTCATAAATTTTGTAGCAGTTTATAGAATTTTTGTTTAAATATCTTTAGTTACGCGAAGACATCATACTTTGCTGAATGGATCAGTAAACCATCGCTGCTTAAATTGAGTGTCATTCATATTCGTATTAATGGAAGAAACACATTTATGGAAATACTTATGTTTAAACCTACATACATATTTATGCAAAATTCAAAAAATCATTACTCTGTAACGACCTAGATTGACTATTATTTATTAAAATTGATTCTGATTATTCTGAAATTTAACATTTTGAATTTGAAAGTACTGAGAGTTCATCGATCTAAATGGAAACTTCAATTCGAGTTCCATCCAACGTCACATTGAATTTGAAAGCTTAATTTTTTAAATTGATAATTTCAAAATTGGGGAAATGCTCAACCCATATTAAACACGGCTCAAGTTAAATTAGATTTACATAATTACATACGTAACAAAAACCAAAAACGAAACCCATTTAAATTGTGATTATAAAGTATTCCGAAAAGTTGTAAAGTAACAAATACTAGTGAATTTCAATTAAAGTAAACATCAAATACGTCTAAATCTTCACAAATTATTCAGAATTAGTGATACTAACTGGTAAATTATTTTCCGCCATAAATCCACTCAAGTTTTCCAAAGTCTTGTGGTCGATCTACATATACCCATACATACATATGTAAATTAGTATAACAAAATTAAGCCTTAATTTGCATTTTACTAACCTTAAATCCTTTCATAGCCACGTTTCGAATCGACCTACATGCCACGAGAGCGGATTTCATACGGTCCGGAATTTTTAACTTTCGGTATGCATTATCCCCACAGAATCGAAGCGATGTGTTCTTCAAACCTAAACATAAGTGTAAATTTATTAATGCAATTTCCTTAGAAAAATTGGAAATTTTTAATTCACACCTTTCCATCCCGTCATTCCTTCCAACACGGCAATTATGATCTTCTTATCCCAACCGCCATATTTCCAGTCACGCGCAATGTCAATGTCCACCTGCCCGCTCGTCAACTCCCAGTCACTCAAGGATCGCATCATTTCCTTAAAACGCAGAACCTCTCTTTTCCTGCTCACGTTATCGATCCGAAATTTTAGCTTAAACTCTTTCACTCCCGGAAAAAGGTTGATCAATTTGCCAGCAGCGTGTCCATCTTGGCCGTCATTAATTTCTGAATAATGGCCGCACTCCACTTCCAGCGACGTTATACCCGGATGGCGCAGGTGGTAGGCTGCAATCATTTCGGAAATGTCGCAATCAGATTCGATGGAGAAATGGGTCAGTTTTGGAAAGTTTTTGGTGTTCAGCGAGTCCTCAATTTTGTACACTTCGGAAGCAGCAATGCTGAAGTGGGTGACGTTGGGGAAGTCAAAATTCAGCTAGTAAAATATAAATTAAATTGAAAAATTTAAATACATTCTCTCGAAATGTGCACAGGGATGTCACATGTCACCTTTATCTCATCCTCATCATCCCGATAATGATAACCCAAGGTCAACTTTTCCAAAGAATCTCTACAACTTTTCAGCATTCTAGTCATTTCGGGCAGGTCGACTTGCACATCGGCCACGTCACGAGATTCGTAATATTCAAACCTCAACTCTTTCAGTTTTCGACATGGTGTCAAGTCCGGGTAGAAATTCACTCTCGCACTGAATTCTTCCAGGTTGGGGGCAGAGTTGAGCAGCTTCTGACAAAGGGGGGAGAACGCGACCCCAGGAAAGTATTTGTAAGCATAGTCTGGCAAAATGCTGAACGAGAAGGATTTCAGATTTTGAAGTGGTCGAAATTGCGGCACGGGTGTAACGTCGATGTCATCACGTTGATATTGGATAGTGGTGACGGTGATCGAAATCCGGGAAAGGTTTGGGAAATGATAAGCCCCCCATATTTCATGTTGAGGAGGATTAATCGTTCTTTCCGTGTTGAGGGTTAGCGTGTCCAACTTGCCGCAAATTTCAGGTAAAAGTATGGCAAAGTTGGGTGGCAGATTTCGATGGCATTCAATTTGAGTCGGACAACATTCACATGGCTTATCCTCAGTGCAGTTACACTTCATCTGCAATGTTACATTCCTGGCGAGTTTGTGGTTGAAAAAGGTCAACTCTGTACAATCAGGATTTGGCATTGTTGAAAAGGTGAGGCGACCCCGTTTTCCGAGAATCTTGGCGCCGACGTCGGCCCAATCGGTGCAGACAAGTCGAGTGGACTTTAATGTCGTCACGTCCAAGTGGGAGAATACTTGGTCCAAAATCTAAAACAAAATTGTGTCAAGAGAAAATATAATTAGTTTTTACTAAATGCATGGTAAATGATAAGTTTAAATGGTCTAAGAAAATAAAAGACCAGGAGTGGATAAGTAAGGTAATTAATTAAATTATACGTCTGGGTTCATCAATACAGAATCGTTGGTGTCGACAAGGTCAAAATTATCCATTTGGTCAATCCCAGCCTGCATGGTGATGTCCTGTAGGTCAAGAATATGACAATTGTCAACAATTAACGTTTAGAAATTAATATTTATTTATCGTCGTACACAAAAATGGTTGACTTTTTATAGCTATAAATTTAGATGCATGCCTGTTTAATTTTTCGCTTGAATTTAACTAATTAATTCCAAAGTTTGGAATCCAAACTGAAAATACCAAGACCAACTTATTTAACTGATTGTTGTCTGTGCGAAGTAAATAATCAGTTGCAAACGAAATGCAGATAGGCAGCAAATTGATGAAAATTATTAATTGTAATTAACTCCAAACTAAAATTATTAATTATTTTGTTCACTGTCATCTGCAATCTGTGCAAGCATAGTTCCCGCAGCGAACCCAACTGGCATTTGAGATTTTGAGGAACTATGAAACTGCACATCATACTATCGAATTTTTTAGCCGGTCACCTCATTTGCATAATTTGACGCATCGCGAGACACATAGAGTTTATTCAACACGGAAAGCCCGTATCGCCGAAAATGGGCATTTGGGCATAGTGAGATTTATGCAAATGAGGTGACACGCCTAAATGCGACTAATGCGAGGATAGTATACCCAAATGAGATTTACACCGATGTAAATTAAAAATTAACTTTTTAACTTAATTAATTAACTCATTAACTTTTTCATTAAAAATTGTAATAAAAAATCTGGCATCAGGTTGTCCGAAGTAAATGGCTGGTACCATGTGTTTTTTAATGATTTATATGTATGTAAAAAACCCGCCAATTTTCGAATTTTGAAACTTTTGATGCATAAAAATGTTCGTATTCAAGGGGGAAGTCAAATGTCAAATGCAAGTATAGGTCTAACTCTTGTCCTAAATAATGTGCATTGACTTTCTCATTTTTCCAAATTTTCTTCTAATATTTTTATAGGGGGTGTGGTTGCACATAATTCAAAAGTGCCTTGCTATATTGATCCCTGCACCCAGAATTTCGTTTACAAATAATTTTATTTGATTCAATGAAATCGACGCGAAAAGCTATGGAACATAACATATCGCCGATATGATATCGGTCATTTTATCTCAAATATGTATGTATATAGCTTGCTTCACCCAAGCCCACGACAGAGCGGTAAAACTTGATTTTAATGTAAATATATGAATTTACCTAAAGACTCGATTTCAGTAAATATCTCATTTTGCCCCCGACCACATCCCCTGATGGGGTGAGATCGTGACTTAGGGATTAATTTATTGTCATCTGCCACACATGCCAGATTTATTCCTACAATATTTATTCCACAATTCAAAGGTACATACACGCATAATATGTACACATTTGTAAGGAAACCAAAAGTTTCACTATTGAAATTTTCATGGTTAGTGGAAAATTTACAGAAAACATGGCGACCATCCCGCAAAATGGGTGAAAAAATTTGTTTGATAAGTTTAATGACAATAAATATATACAAGAATTTCATATATGTATGTATGGGTCAGGGTGGGTTAATTTCTGCTTGGTTCTCGGAAAACGGGGCGAAGAAAATCCCGGAACTGCCGGATCAACGGATCCTAAATTGTTTGAAAATTGCCTGAAACCTTCAGAATTTTCGAAAAATGTTCGAACATTTCTGAACAATGCTCGAAAATTCCCTTGCAAAGATTCCCAAAAAAAGATCGAGTATGGCGAGTACCGGATAGCAAGGGTTGTGCCGAGGACGGATATCCGGAAGTGTAAGGAGAAAAATAATTTTCTAAATTTTGCCACATTTTGAAGAATTTTTAAAAATTTCTTCAGTTACGCGCACACATACTACTTTACCAACTCGATCAGATCGACCATCGGTGCTTAAATTGAGTGTCACCCATCTTCGCATTCTTGGAAGAAACAATAAAGTATGTATGCAAATATATTCGCATCTATGTGTACGCAAAATTCAAAAAATAACAATGTAACGTCCTCCTTGATTCAATCGTGTTTATTAAAATTGTGTCTAATTACTCTGAAATTTAACATTTGAGCTTGAAAATAAATTCTAATTTTTAAAAGCATATATAATGAATTCATCAAAAAGGAACTGGAGTAAAATTTAATTCGGAAACTTTTGATCTAATTTTTACATTGATAATTAAAATTTTGAAATAGGGAAAATGTTCAACCCATTTTAACTCAAAACTTGTGAGCACCGTTAAATAATTCATAAATAAGATTTCATAATTACAAACTTAACAAAAATCGAAAACAAACCCCATCTTAAACGAGACATTGTGAATATCAATTAACTACAAAATATTTAAGATAACAAAATAATAATAATAACGAACTTCAATTAAAGTAAAACATCAAATATGTAAGTCGAAATCACTCAAACATCATTAAAAATTAGTGATACTAACAGGCAACTTATTTTTCTTGATAAATCCACGAAAGTTTTCCAAAGTCTCGTCGTCGATCTACAGAAATATGGGCATAAATTAGCATATGTAACACAAAATTATGCATCAGTTTACATTCTATATGAAACCTGTACCTGGAATCCTACAATAGCCACGTTTCGAATCGACCAACATGCCACGAAAGCGGCTTTCATACCGTCCGAAGTTTTAAACTTTCCGTCAACAGTGTACCCATTAAATCGAAGCGACGTGTTCTTCAAACCTAAATATTTACAAATATTAAATTACTAGTGTAAAAATTTATGCATGAAAACCGTAAATGCCTACCTTTCCATCCAGTCATTCCTTCAAGCACAGCAGTTATCGCTTTCTCATTCAACTCCTCATGCGAACGTCGTCGTGCACCATGAATGTCCACCTGCCCGCTCGTCAACTCCCAGTCGCTCAAGGATTTCATCATTTCCTTCAAGGGCAGAACCTCTGGCAGAACTGCTGGCACTTCCTGGATCACTTGAATCCGCAACTTCAGCTTAAATTCCTTCACGCCAGGGAAGAGGTTGACCAATTTGCCAAAAGTTTGTCCATCCTGACTTTCACTTTCTGGATGATGCGTACAACCCACGCTCAGCGACGTTATCCCCGGATGGCGCAGGTGGTAGGCAGCCATCATTTTAGAAATGTTGCGCCAAGAATTGATGGAGAAATGGGTCAGTTTCGGAAGGTTGGTGGGGTTCAGCGAGTCTTCAATTTTGCACACACCGACAGCATCGAGGTTGAGGTGGGTGAGGTTGGAGAAGTTAAAATTCAGCTAAATAAATAAAATACAAATTAACTAAAATATTTCAACATACATGAGTAAAATTATGCCACCTGAAAAACAGATGGATGCCCTAAATGATGATCCAACGTCAACTTTTCCAAGGAATCACTACAATTTTCCAGCATTTTCGTCGTTTCGGCCATGTTGATCGCAGCACTAGCCCAACTAGAACGTTCAAAATATTTAAACCTCAACTCCTTCAGTTTTCCAGATGGTGTCAAGTCCGGGTGGAAATTCATTGTAATGTCGAATTCTTCCAGGTTGGGGGCAGCGTTGAGCAGCTTCTGACAAAGGGGTGAAAAAATAGCCCCAGATAAGTGGGGGATATAGTCTGGGAAAATTTTCAGCGAGAAGAATTTCAAATTTTTGAGTGGGTGAAATTTCATTTGCAGTATAACATCGATGTCGATGTCCTCGAGATCTAATGTGTTGGCGAAAGTGACGCTGATCGAAATCCCGGTGAGGTTTGGGAACTTGTAATTACTCCACATTTCATGCAGGTGAGGATTAAACCTATTTTCCACGTTGATGTTGAGTGCGTCCAAGTTTTCGCAAATTTGAGGCAAAAGTGTAGCAAAGTTGGAGGGCACATTTCGATTGAATTGAACTTCAGCCCGAGAACAATTGCAGCCGTATTTGCAATAACACTTCATATGTAATGTTATATTCTTGGCGAGTTTGTGGTCGAACGACATCAACTCTTTACAGTTAGGGTGGGAAGGGTTGGGGGGTGTTGAAAAGGTGAGGCGACCATTTTTTCCGAGAACTTTAGCCCCAAAGTCGTCCCAGACGGTGCAGACGAGTCGAACGGACTTTAAAGTCTTCAAGTCCAAGTGGGAAAACACTTGTTCCAAAATCTAAAATAAAATTTGGACGAGTATAATTTCTGGTTGTGATTCACTCAGTTTTAGATAGATGCATAGCAAATGATAAGTTGAAATGGATTAAATTAAAACATTGGAGTGGATAAGTCAAAAGTAATTAATTAAATTACGTCTGGGTTCATCAACACAGAGTCGCCGTTGCCGACCAGATCTAAATTATCCATTTGTATTTCCATTTGGTCAATCTCGGCCTGCATAGTGTGATGTGTGATCCCCGGTCAGCTGACTGTGAGGTGTACAAAAAATATAAATTATAAATTGCCACTACATAATTCATAATTAACGGTTAGAAATAAATTTTAAACTGAAAAAAAATGTTTCACATGTTATAGCCATAAGGGGCCGTTAATTAACTATGTAACGCGAGAGGGGGGGGGTCCAAACGGCTCTAATAATATCGTGCATTAAGGGGGAGGAGAGAGGAGGGGATTTGAAAATCGCGATTTTTGCGTTACACAATTTATGAAAGTTCATAAATTGAACTACATGCAAATGAAGAATGCCTTTTTAAGTTTTCCTTGGACTAATAAAGAACTTTTTGTTTTAATGTCGACCAGAAGTAAAATAATTAAATTGAAACGATTGAAACTATTAACTCAGTTAATTTAACTGCGAATTAAATCCTGTTGAACTTATTTATTTTTACTTGCTTACCTTGTTTGACTTATCACGAGTAGATTTGGCTGGATCTTACAATTAGTTTTTTTGTTCAATATGTAGATTGGGAACATAAACTAACTGGAATTAGCTTCAAACTAAAATTATTAGTTTTCACTGTTTGCTGTCTGTGCGTAATAAAAAGTAAATAACGGCAATTTGCCGCAGGAACCTTTTAAGGGGCATTTTGAAAATCGTTCCAACTTGGAACCTAGGTTAAATTGGAGAACTGCTTTTTTTCAGGGAACGACTTTGTTCGGACTTTTTTGCATCAAAATTTTTGATGCAAAAATACAAAACATGTTAGTAGAAAAAATGTTGTGGGATGCTGCATTCATCAAATAGTTATGTATTTAGGTCCATTAATTAACAATCTTTTGTGAGAATTTCAAGAATTTTTAAAAATGTCTTTATTTACACGGAAACATCCTACTTTGCCGAATGGGTCAGTTAAATTAAGGGCCACTCATATGACCCATATTCATATTCTTGGAGGAAACAATAAATTTATGTAAATATATTCGCATCTACATATGTATGTATATATGCAAAATTAAAAAATAACAACGTAACGCCCTTTTTGATTGTTTATTATAATTGTGTCTAATTACTGTGAAATTTAACATTTTGAATTTGAGAATAACCACTAATTTTTAAACGCGTAATGATTTCATCAAAAAGGAAACTTCAAATAGAGTCAAATTTAATTTGGAAACTTTGATCTAATTTTTGCATTGGTAATTTAAAACTTGAAATAGAGAAAATGCTCAACTCATTTTAACTCGAAACTTTTGAGCACGGCGAATTAATTCATAAATTAGATTTACATAATTACAAACTTAACAAAAATCAAAATTGAAATCCATCTTAAACGATACATTTTGGTTATAGAAAAACTACGAAAGATTGCCAAGTAAGAACGAAAAGTAATTAATTAATATTAACGAATTTCATGTAAACTATCGAAACATCAAATATTCATGTATGTAGGTGTAGGTCAAAATCCCTCAAAAACCATTAAAAATTAGTGACACTGACTGGCAAGTTATTGTCTTCAGCAAATCCCAGAAAGTTTCGCAAAACCTCGTCGTCGAGCTACAGACATAAATTAGCATAATACAAAATTACAAATCCATTTTACCAACCCCGTAGTATGAAAAGTATACCCGGAATGCATCCATCACCACATCTCGAATCGCACCGCATGCCATGGCACCAGCTCTCATAGCGTCCGAAGTTTTAAGCTTTTCCTGAACATTGCACCAAATAAATCGAAGCGACGTGTTCTTCAAACCTATGTATTTACAAATTTGAATTTGTTAGTGCAAAAATTCAAGTCAGATGCAAATTTGAAATTCACACCTTTCCATCCTGTCATTCCTCCAAGCACGGCAGTTATCGCCCTTTCATCCAACCCCTCATGCGAAAGCTGTGCACCCTCAATGACCACCTGCCCGTTCGTCAACTCCCAGTCTCCAAAGGATCGCATCATTTCCTTCAAAGGCAGAAACTCTACTGTGAAATTGTGCACGTGAATCACCAACTTCAGCTTAAACTCCTTCACACCGGGGAAAAGATGGACAGGTGCCAGCAGGGTGACCATCTTCTTGACTGCCAATTTGTGCACAATGGCCGCAATTCACTGACAGCGACGTTATCCCTGGATGGCGCAGGTGGAAAGCTCCAATCGTTATAGAAATGTCGCACAGAGATTTGATGGACAAATGGGTCAGTTTCGGAAGGTCGGTGGTGTTCAGTGAGGCCTCAATTTTGTAAACGTAGGCAGCATCGATGCAGGGATGGGTGAGATTGGGGAAGTTCAAATTCAGCTAATACATAAAATACTAATTAATTGACATGATTAAAATATTTAAGTTTAGTTTATGTGCGCCCATAAACCAGGAATGGCTCGTGTAACTCTTACCAGTAGACTGGGTAAATTCCCACAAAGATAATCCAACGTCAACTTTTCCAAAGAATCTCTACAATTTTCTAGCATTCTCGCCATTTCGGGAATATCCACGTGCACATTAGGCAAATCATGACATTCACAATAGTCCAACCTTAACTCCTTCAGTTTTCGACATGGGGTCAGGCCCGGGAAGAAATTCATTGTAATGTCGAATTTTTCCAGGTTGGGGGCAACGTTGAGCAGCTTCTGACAAAGGGGCGAGCACACAACCCCAGAAAAGTGGTCGTCAAAGTTTGGGAAAATCTTCAACGACAAGACTTTCAGATGTTTGAGGGGTTGAAATTTCATTTGCAGCATAACGTCGACGTGCTCCTCGAGATCCAATTCGTTGGCGAGAGTGACACTGATCGAAATCCGGGTGAGGTTTGGGAATTGATAATTACTCCACATTTCATGCAGGTGAGGATTAAACCTATTTTCCACGTTGACCTTGAGTGTGCTCAACTTGTCGAAAATTTGAGGCAAAAGTATGGCAAAGTTGGAGGGCAGAATTCGATTGAATTGAACTTCGGTTCGAGAGCATACGCAATCACGGAGGCAGTAACACTTCATGTGTAATGTTACATTCTTGGCGAGATTGTGGTTGAATGAGGTCAACTCTTTACAGCGGGTGTACCAAGGGATGGGCAGTCTTGAAAAGGTGAGGCGACCATTTTTTCCGAGAAACTTGGCCCCGACGTCGTCCCAAACGGTGCAGACGAGTCGAACGGACTTTAAAGTATCCAAGTCCAAGTGGGAGAACACTTGATCCAAAATCTAAAATAACGAATATAATTTGTAGTTGTGGTTCTCATTTTTTACTCAATACATTGCGAATGATAAGTTGAAATGGTTTAAAACAAATAAGAGTGGATAGGTTAAAAGTTGTAAATTAAATTACGCCTGGCATCATCAACACGTCGTTGACGACAAGGTCAACATTATCCATTTGTATTTCCGGTTGATCAATCTCGGCCTGCATTGTGTGATCCCCTGTCAGCTGACTGCACTGTGAAGGTGAAGTGTACAAGAAATATAAATTATAAATTGTCACTAATTAACGGTTATAAATAAATTGTATTAAATACAAAAATGTTATAGCCATAAGGGGCCACTCATAAATTATGTAACGCCAGATGGGCGGGTCTAAGGCTCCAATAATTTCGTGCATGTGACACATGTTAAAAGGGGAAGGGGGTAGGAGGGGATTTAAAAATCGCGATTTTTGCATTATATAATTTGTTAACTAAATTCAAATGAATGTCTATTTAAGTTTTCCTTTGACTAAACAATCAAGAGCTTTTTCATTTAATATGTCGACAACCAGCAAATTAATTGAAAGTTTCAATTAGAAACAATTAACTCAATTTAATTCCAAATTAATGCCTGTTGGATGTAAGTATGTATTTGTTTTTACCTTGTTTGACTTATCAGCACGAATAGGTTTGGCTGGATTCTAGCTTTTTTCTTCAATATGTAGACAACCAGTAGAAACAATTAACTGTAATTAACTCCAAACTAAAATTATTAATTTTCGCTGTTTGCTGTCTGCGTGTAGTAAAAAGTAAATAATTTGCCGCAGGAACCAAGTTCATGGGGCATTTTGAAAAGCAGTTCAAGGTTAAATTGGTAAACTGCTTATTCCTTAGCGAGCGACTTTGTTCGGACTTCATTTATGGATGCATCAGATGCATGCATGTGCGAAATTAAATATCTGCAAGTCCCATTAAAAAATTAATCCATTAACCACTTACGAAAATTCGATATTAATCATTTGGGTAACATTGCTAATTTAATTCCACGATAGCTTGACATTTAGTACTTTTGTTATTTTTCACCTGCGTAAAATAATTATTGGATACATAATTATCTATTCCAGCTAGAAAAACTAATTTAAATTATGGGACTCTCCGTTTCAAGTGAATCGTTAAACAGTCCTTGAATTTTGAAAAGGGCATGTAGACGACTTTCATCTGTCTCCATCTTGGTGAATATTTCATATTTGTACAGTATTTTCGCCACGGTAAATTTCATCTCGGGCATGACGTATTTTTCACCTAAAATGTATTTCAAGAAAACTGGTTACGAATTTTCATAGGAGGACAATCTTGGCAAGTTTTCATTTCCAAAAAATTTGCAACATTCATGAAGTATAACTTAAGAAAATTGGTCGGTTTAACAATATTATTAAGCTATATCTTAGCTATTTTGGGCTGCAAAAAATTCAAAGCGCAAGAAACTACTTCCGGCGCTATGGTTAATACTGCGCGTCGCTAGATGTCGCATATTTCTTGCATGTCTTCCTTTGCAATTTATTTACAACTCACCGATACAAATTCGTTCCCACGCGCTGAATGGGAGGTACGAACAGCGATGCCGATTAAGCACATTTTCTGGAAGGAATCTCTCCGGAATGAATTGTTCCGGTTTCGGGAATACTTTCGGATCATGGTGAAGAGTTAGGACTGGAATGAAAACGTTGGTATACATATTTCGGAATTACGAGGCCATTTCCGACATCCATTTCCTCCATGACTTTCCAGGGCGGCAACAGGGGGAATAAGTCGCATCGTTTCCTTCAATACCATCGTAATGCAGGTCAGCTTGGAGACGTCTTCGGACCGCATGGGCGTGTCGTAGTCGTCTCCGATGACGCGTCGAGCCTCTTCATACGCGTTTTTTTGAACGGTGGGATTTTGTGCGAGCAATATGAACGTTTCGCACAGGACGGAATCCGTGGAATCGACGGCCTGAAAAATTATTGTAATTGTGATCTCGTCATTTTTGTGACGCAAGTAATTATAATGGAATAGTGGCTGTTAAGATTAAAGAAATGTGAAAAAATATGTGTGTTAAGGTGGGTCTTTTTAAAGTAACCTTAGTTTTTTTTTTAATTTCTGGCAAGAATTTGAGTCATAAATTAAGGCTGTAAGTGGCAAGAGGAGAAGAAGTTTTAAATATTGAGCGTACTCACGATAATATCCTATTTCGCATCGCAACTCATTCAGCAAACTTGTGAAGATACAGATAAAAGGAAAATTTTCGTGAGGAGATTCGCCAAATATGACTTTGCAAAACTCACACATCTCTTAACTCTACTAAAAACACCTAGCTTGACGTTGTTTCCTTGCATTTGTGGAATTTCTCTTAATTCTTATGGCTACGAATCTCGCCAAGTTTGCGCACACAAGTGAATACACCTACCAAATTATGTATGTCGGTGCATAATGCGTTGTCTTATTAATACAAAGTGGGGAATTGTGATGACTAAATTTTACATAAAATCAGTAATTATGCAACTTGGGAATTTATAAATAATCGGAAAGTTGAAGTCGTTATGAAACCTGCAGCATACATATGTACATACATAGTGTATATAAAGTTTCTGAGCACCTGAAAAAATCGTCCCACCTGCTGAAAGAAATTGCTAGAACTTTTTTGTTGTTGTGGTCCTGGTATTAATTTTTTCTGAAAATGTCCCTAATACGTTTATCTTCATTTGTGGGAAACATTATAAAAATAACCCCAGGTTTGGATGGAGGAGAATGCGTTTCATAAATTGCTCGAAAATTTTGGTTTCCCGGACATATCTTCAAGTTGTGGAGGAACCATAAGTCATCTAGAGACGCAATTCATCTTGGATGACCCACAATATCCTCGGCCACAACTTTGAATATGATTTTGAACATAATGTACCGAAAATCTGCAAATTGGGCAATAAAGCGTAGAGGTCGTAAATCTCACAGATTGATTTTAAAGATTTTGGCATGAAATCTGTCGTTCCATTATCTAGCATCATGTAAAAACCAGTGATTCGGGTAACATATCTACCATGCGTCCTAAAACAACGCATTTTCGCACATAAACATTCAACATTGACTAACTTTTGGTGACTTTTTCGAGAAAAACGGCTGTTTGACTTCTGGTGAAAAGAATCGACATATTTTGTGTACACATAAGATCGAAATGTGTGGGCATCCTGTGGCGAATTCTTACTATACGAGGTACCGAATCGTGAAGAGAAACGAGGTTCCCAAGAAGAAGCTTCCAAAAAAATGACTACTATAAACGGTTTGTATTTGGCTCCGCTATCGAGGAGCGACAGAATTGGACGTCCCGTTTGCTGGTCACAACCTCGGCGGCCGGTTTTACCGTGACCTCATCCAGCCTATGCACTTCAATACTATGGAGACTAAGCTACTTTTTCCAAATTCGACAACAATTTAATTTCAACTAGGTATAGCACCAGCCAACATTTCAAATGGTACCGCTTGCGTATTCCATAGACAGTGGTTTATCATCTTGGGAAGTGGGTGTGGCTGTTTAGCAGCCCGGATACAAACCGAAATCAAAGTTCATGGTAGCACCTGAAAAATAAAATGTTCGGCGAACCAGTTCCACGCGATTATACTTCTCTGACATGACATTTTCCTAACACTCAGAAAATTAGTTCCCAAATTGTTTTGTAAAATTTGTCAGAAAATTTCAGGACAAGATTTCACAAAATGCTAAGATCGTCTGAAGGACACATTAAATACCTGGGCATCACATACTATAAAGGACTTTTTAAAGAAAAATTGTATCAGGTTACAAGTAGTATGGTTAGAAACTGTACTTTGACTGCTCAGGAATTAAATATACACTATGTACATAAATGCCTACGCAGAAGTAATTGTAGTTGGGGGATGGAAACTCGACTGGTGTAAAAATGATGGATGACTCTGACAAGATAATCTTTCACTATTGGGTAAAGCCTTATCCAGCGATATCGATATACGCGGCTGGGCTTATCAATCTCACGCATATATATTTACATACTAGTGAACTGTGCAATTGTCTGTGATATGTTTACTCAACACCCTTAATGCTGAAATAGGGGTTTTCATAAACCACGGGAAATTCATGTCGCTTATCGGAACAACTTCCCAGCCTTTTCAAAGTTAGGCGGAATTACCTTACTAAACGTGACAATAGTTATCATAATATGTGTCCATAGAGTATAAAATTGGAACATTTTCCATCATAACTTATCAAACCCACACAGCAATTCCAGCTCGAATCGTCATCTCAATTTCATCATGAAATCGGCAACAATCATCTTCCTCGGCGTCGTCGCCTTGGCTTCAGGTTGGCACTTTTGGCTAAAATCATATTTTTTAGAAATTATTTTAAAGTTTCCAAAAATTTTATTTCAGCCATGCCCAAATTGGACACCGCCCTTTTCCAAGCGGCCGACCCACGCTTGATCGTAGGGGGCGTGGAAGCCAAGAAAAACGAATTTCCCTTCATGATCGACGTTCGAATTGGTGGGCGTCATGGTTGCGGGGGGTCGATCGTGTCCCCCGATTGGGTCGTTACTGCGGCTCACTGCACCGGATACGACGCCAGCAGTTACACCCTTGTCGCAGGGGATCACAACCTGACCCTCAACGAGGGGACGGAACAAAGCCGTAGTGTCGCTGCTATCGTGAGACATCCAGGATTTGACAGGTACATGTTAATTAACGTGGCATTGTATGCGGGGTTTGAGTTTGAATTGATGTGTCTCATCTTTCCCTTCCTCCATGTATTCAAGTGGCGATTTTGAAACATGTTCATCGCCGTTCGTTTTTTACGATATGAAGATTTTAATGCACCTAAAAATCGCTAATTTTTAGGCTTACAAAGTTAGGACATAAAAATTTTGATTTTTTTTCTTCAACCAGAAGATAAATATAAAATAGATGAAAAATAAACAACAAAAATTAAATATTACCTCATTAAAGAAAAAAATCAAAATTTTTATCTCCTAACTTTGTAGGCCTAAAAATTACCGATTTTTAGGTGCATTAAAATCTTCATATTGTAAAAAAAGAACGGAGATGAACATGTTTCAAAATCGCCATTTGAATACATGGAAGAAGGGAAAGTTGAGACACAACAATTCAAACTCAAAACCCGCATCATGCTATTCCGCCTTAATTCTATGCAACCCTTAGTCCTACAAATTGTGCATATTTACTACCTGTTCAATCACCTAAGTACGCACTAATTTTGCCATATTTAGACCCACTATTATTAACAACGATATCGCCCTGATGCGAGTCGACCGTCCCTTCGAATTCAACGAGTTTGTCGGTCCAGCTGTCATCCCGCAGCTTAACTTCGCCCCCAACAAGTAATTAAGAAATATTAAAAAAAACTTCGGAAATATTAAAAACTGATTTTGTGCTTGTCCAGAGTTGGCCACGGTGGCGGGATGGGGCGCGCTGTCTTACCCGGGCGGTGCCCTCCCCGATGTCCTCATGAAGGTTGAAGTTCCCTACGTGGAGGACGAGCCCTGTCGAATTGCCAACATTGACGTTGGTGTCGTCACAGAGAGCATGGTCTGCTACGGGATTGTGGGAAAGGATTCTTGCAAAGCTGGTGAGTCAATTATGATATAAATTTCTGAGAAAACCAAATTATGTAAATCGTGTCCACATTTTGTATTTATCAGATTCCGGCGGTCCATTGATGTGCGGATCGGACAATGCGCTCTGTGGGATCGTTTCCTGGGGCAAGGATTGTGCCCTGGACGGGTACCCCGGAGTGTAAGGAGAAAAATAATTTTATAAATTTTGTAGCAGTTTGAAGAATTTTGAAAACTTTCTTTAGTTACACGGAAACATCCTACTATACTGAATGGATCAGGTCAACCATTGCTGCTTAAGATGAGTGTCATGCATAAGTATTCATGGAAGAAACGACTTTATGGAAATATCTACACATTTATGTTCGCATCTATTTATTTAAAAAAATTTAAAAATGTAATATATACCTTTAAATGAATATCGTTGATTAAAATTTTGCCCATTTATTTCTGAAATTTGAAATTTGAAAATATTTGTCGAATTTGTATGTACATAAAAGCATGGTGAGTTCATTAAAACTTCAATTGGATTTTCAACGTCATGTTCACCTTGGAGACATTTTATTTAATTTTAACATTTATAATTTTGAAAGGACGGAAATGCTCAACCCTTTCAACCTCGGCTAATTAATCCAAGATAAATTTATTTGCACAATTACATATGTAAATACATATGTATGCACTTAACAAATACGACGAAACGAAGCCCAACTTAAATGAGACATTGTGGTTATCAATAAATAACAACGAAAGGTTGTAAAGTAACAAAGAACAGTAGTATTGAAAATTCAAAAAAAGTAGGCCTATGAAAAATTATGACACTAACGTGGCGTGTATACATATGTTTGTACATCTGTATTATGTGAATCTGTATTACTAGTTGTGTGTAGTTTTCTGACGTATTACATAATTCGGTGAAATGGAATTTACATTTTCTTGTAATAAAATTATTTTCGTGCAAGAAATACTTACGAAAGAACCTGTTACTTTAAATGTTTAATATGAACATATTTTTGTAGATATATTAGTTCAATAAGAACATGCATACATATTTGGTTTAGCTTATTCCGAGTTGAATCCCATCTTGGTGAATTTTTTTCGTTAAGGGAAAATTAGAGAGTTACTTTGCGTGTGGCAAATCGAGGTATGATTTTGTGGTACTAAAATCTCCGCGTATTTATACTCGTCCAATATTTGAAAACCAATTAAGTTTTCATATCAGGTATAAATTTTGTTGACAGGTTTTAATTTTTGCAACTTGTTATTGGCGAAGAATTATTGTTGTTGTTCTGGAATATTTATGCGATGCTTGAATTCTGAAAAAATCGAGACGATATCAAAGCTGCCTTTGTTTAATTGCATGCAATCCGTCTATCCAGTTTTCAGACGAAGCATGGTTATCAATTTGTTTGATGATAATGCATTTGCAAACACTGCGACACGAGAAGGAGGCGGGACTTGGCTTATCGCACAACTGCGTACGTACATATTAACTTATTGCATTGCGAACGATCTGTATGAGTATTTGTTGGGAACAAAGGTTAGTGTCGTAAGTAAGTAAGCAGAAATCGCTGCAATCAGGAAAGTGTCAATTTAAGTCGATTTGTTTTTCTGACAAATCCTTGTTAATATTGCAAACAATTAATTTGCGAAAACAACAATTCTTACGAAAAACACGGATGTGACCGTGACGCCACGAGCGACGAGTTGTATAAAAAGGGAGTGGAATCATTCAGTCAGTATACAAATTTCCTTTGCCATAGCAAGCTAAATAACTTGAAAAATCTCCGAATATTTCCGCCATGTCTTCCTCCAAGCTTAACTTTGTCGCCTTTGTCGTTGTCCTGCTCAACGTAATCAAACCTTCTTTTGCAGCCGCTGCGGATTTACCAAATTCTGTTGGAGTAGTCGTAAGTTTATTCTGAAATATTTTCAGCCAAAATTTTTTTTTCATGGACACTTTATAAATTTTTTTTCTGTAGGGTGTGCCACAAGTCATTTTGGGAAAAGATGAGACGCGTTGCCTCGGTTATGGAGCGATGTGTCAATCTGACGGAAGTTGGGGGAACTGTTGTTCCGGATACTGCTACCAGTGGGAGGGGTACAGCCATGGGCTCTGCTCATAATACTCTGTTATCATAATTACGAATCCCTAAAATAAACTTTGAATGTAATCGATAACTTACGTTAACTTTTGTATTAAAGAATGACAAAACAACCTTTTAATTTAAATACTGTAAAATACAAGAAGTTAAAGCTCGAAATTTCTAATGTCTAGGTGTCCTACTTGTCCGGTGTCAGTAAAGAGGTTTGGCGTCCACCAATTTATGTGGGTCCCGGGTAACGCGTACCTCCATCTATCATTTGAATTCATTTGCATGAACACATCAAGCACTCATGTATGTAACTAACTGTAAGCCTCCTTATATTTTTTAATCCTGGCGAAAATTTAAAATGTAGTGCCGTTTGAAAGCATGATTTGCTGAAAAATTCATGCCTATCAAAAATTATTGATTTGCTTGTTTTATCTCTGACCAAATTTAAACTTCGACTTAAACTTTTCTATTGATTTAAACTTCGCTTAAACTAAATTACGTTCAGAGTACCCCAAGTAACATGGTGTAAGTTTAATACACCAATGTTTGCCTCGCTGATGAAAAATTTTAAACAACTTTGACCTCAAATATCTCGAAATGGCGCAGTTGATATGATCTACATAGTTTTAAAAGCAAAAAATATACTGGATGCGCTGCTCTGATTTTTGATTTTGAAATTGACAATGAATTTGTTACCCCTCGCTCCTTTTTGTCTGTTGCAACAAGCTCATAACACGCGGTGCTATGGTAGGTTAGCACATTTTCCAGACCAGGATGGCAAAATGTACATACATATTCTTTTACTCATCAATAGATGAGTCATCATATTACAAATATTAATACATAAGCTAGGGCTCTGCTACCTAAACTCTGGAAAGTAACCAGTAGGTCATGGAATATAGTAAACAATGTAAGGTACTTAATTAGTCCAGTATAATACATGGTACCTCACAGAGAAAATTCCGAAGTATGAAATTCTTGTATATATGGCACAATCTGTGAATACTGGAACTGGATTAATTAGAACGTTTCTTCTCAAGCTGTGAATGAATTTGTAAAAAATCTTGCACCGTTATACGTCGCCAACTTTTCTGATCATGAACGGAATGGGATATTTTCTAAAAACAAACAAATATGTTGGCTGGAAGATATTAGTCAATTTCGCAGTATTTTGATCATCTACTAAGGCTGGAGGTCTTCAAGTCTATGTTCCCCAATTTTGACCTAATTAGCCTCAATCGATCTCAAATTTAATCAATAGGAAATTTTAAAACGATGACATTTACCAGTGGTTAAGTTTGTCAGAGATATGTATCTGTATCCACGGAGGATAAAACGCAGTAACTTAATTTGGAAAGTATAAACTTGGGTAACTTCGGGCTTCATTTTTTTCTCCTTCGGATACAATGTGTCCGCCAAACGTGAGCATTTACAAATGTTGTCCTTTGCCAATTTGGTATTAATTAAATTTGGGATCGATTTTACACTAGTTTCATCTATGTATGTCTGAGAGCATATGCTGTAGAACTTCATTGCCGTGCCGGTATTTCTAGATTGGATCATAAATATGCATGTACATATTTATCAACATAGATAAATTTATTAACTTTGACTTTTACAAGAAACCCTTACCTAACAATGTGAAGATAATTTAGTGCCATAAAACTTACAAAGTATTTAAGACTTATATAGGTTGATAGATAATCCATTTCAGATAAATGAAAATACTAACTTATGCTTTCGCTGGAATTCCTTACTTTGGATTATGTACTTACATACTACCTTAATATTGACATTGACTTTCGTAAAGAATATAAATTACCCCGAATTGTCTTATAAAATTGTCAGTGTATCTAAACACACAGCAAAGATAACACAAAGTTTCTTCCAATCATTAAAATTAATACAATAAAACTGTGAAATGTCTGTCCTGGAAATATTAGCAGCTTCTATCATTCAAGTGGGAAAAATCCCTGACCACGTGGCTATCATTCTTGACGGGTGAAATAATTGACATTAATTTAAATTTACTTATATGCTATTGGAGTAAGAGTTTTTAGGTTGGAAAATCGATCAACGATTTTTCCGGGAAATTTTTAGCATAGTCGAAAAAAATCTCGGGACACTTTGGTGTCACGTTATGCCAATGGGTGTAATGGGATAAAAATAACTGGATGATGTCGTTGGCTAATCTAAAAATGTTAGGCTAGTCTAAATACTTATTGACAAGTATTTACATACAGTGGAAGAAATCCCACCTAGATACATACATAGCTTTTGTATAGCAAGAAAATGTTTGTAAAGCTAATCGATTTTATTTATGTAAAAATCGACGTTACGCCAGAAGCCATGGGTGGTCTGTGGCAGATGGACACAAGATTGGGTAAGTATGGATTACTTAATACAAAGACATACCCGAGCTGACAGAGGTGAGGATTTCGTAATGATGCACGCAACGATTTGCTAATTAAGAATCGACACCAAAATTTAAATGTTTATTTGGTAGCGTGTGCATACCAAATATTTAACGTTTAGATGTAAATGACGATATAATATTGGTCAGGTATTGACATTTCATTAGAGATAAACATCGTTCACACTCAGTACCATTTTGGTAGCTTGTTTTGGCTTCTTAATCAACGCTGAAATTTCGTTGCTCGAAACTTGCAGATTTAGTAACACAATATTGGCGTTGATAAATAATTCCTTGACAAGCACCTTGTGGGTACGGAAAAATCAATGCCGGATCGGTGCTCATTATCTTCACCACATCAACACTATCTCAGCATTGACTGTATGTGAGACGCCACCGCCACTTTTTGCTTTCATATTTTGTCTGTGCATCACATAAAATCAAATTGTCATTGGGATACATTTATTTCGTCATGTCTAACAAAATTTTAAAGCAATTTTGTGTCGTCGAGTTTATTGCTGACCAGACTATTGAGGTTGTTCCAAAAACTTGGCTTTCAGAAGACAACAAAAAGTGTACATTTCCATCAAACAGACCTAGAGGTTTTAAAAAAATTCAAGAAGACCCTGACTCAGGACCGGACCCTTTATGGAAGAGTTGGGAGATCGTAGTCAAGACAAGCTCTGGTAAGACTTATTCATAAATACTTTTGTAATACACAATAATTATGTAATTATTTTTTTGCAGATAGTTTTGATCGTGCTAATACTAAAGCCAAGAAGCATTTAAAGCCAAGTTATGTTGATAGCAGCGACATTGAAATTGGTGCTGGATCTTCACAATCCACGGGACAAGTGAATGTTGAAGGTATTTATATGAATTCTTTTTAGTCTTTTGCAAATTAAAAGAAATATTTAAGCAATTATTTCAATTATATTAGGAATCGAAGAAATAAATGCCACGAACCAAGCAATTGAACCAATTCCTATCACAATTAATTATGATGAGCGCCTCTCCACTTTAATTGAGGAATTTCGGGGTATCTAATAATTTCTATTTTATACGCAAGTCATGGTATAAGTTGATATTGCAATTAATTTCAGCTTTTAAATTCAGCGTTTCAGGTGACTTCTCTCCAAAATCAACTGATTTTACAAGAAGACATCAAGGACCTGAAAACGATTATATTGCGGTCTCTCAGTACTTCTTCACAATTACGGTCAAGTAATATCGTTTGGCCAATTAAGAACCAGGAGCAATTACAGGAAGTGAACGAGATCCTTTCTGCCGACAACGCTGTATTTAATCTTGAGGTGGTTTTTAATAAATTTACTTTATTATGCAATTTTATGCACCAGTGATGATGTCCTAATTGCTTATCATATGTACATATATTTTAAAGGTTGCATTCTTCTCGCGACTAGGAGGGGATTCGGTGACGCTTGCCGTCAACAATACATTAAAGGCAGTCATCAAACATGAGTTTGCACTAATTTTGAGGTTCACAGATTCCTCTAACAAAGCGGCATTTGGTGGAACTCTGTGCTGTAAATTAGTTAAAGGTAAAATTCGAATTCCTTATTACTATGTAAATGTCTCGAGAAATATAAAAGCGAGATATCAAAATTAATTTGTTCATTTATTTGGTGTAATTTACAGATTCCGTTCGCCAGTTCTACTACAAGGATGGGAATGTTCTCTCCGAAAAAATAAAGCTGGATTTAGTTGAAAGCCGATTGGATTCATTCATTGCTAAGTGGCTTCGGGACTCAGTTAACAGGGGAGAGGAAGGGAAACAAAAGCGTACGAAGGCGAAAAATGCAGGCACCGAGGTCAACCAAGCACGGACGGGTGCAGAGGCGGCTGAGTCAAATGCTGAATCAGATTAGAACCGTACGTGCAACTACAAATTTGCCACAATCTTCAAACATTTTCGAAACAACCCCATTTGTAAGAAATAATAGTCTTAGTTGTGTTGAACCTTATCAAAATGAAAATATTGTAAATTCATCTCAAATTGAATACAGTCGTACTAGTAGTGATGATGATGAAAGTAATTATGAATTACACAATGATACTTGTATGATTTCCAACCTTAACCACGTATCGTCTCTTAGAAACTGGGCAGTAAACCACAATGTTACTCACGCTGCCTTAAAAGATTTATTAGAAATATGTCGCAAATGGTTACCTACTTATGGCTTCCCAATTGATCCGAGAACATTATTACAAACTCAGCGAGAGGTTCGGTTACAAGATGTCGAAGGAGGCCAATTTTATCACTTTGGTTTAGAGAAAGGGTTAGCAAGAATCTTAAATTATAAACAATTTGGACAAAAATGTAGTAAGGAAGTGGAAGTTAGCCTTGGAATAGATGGCATACCTGTTAGTAAAAGTTCAAATTTGCAATTTTGGCCAATTCTGTGTAAATTAAATGGACATGTTTGGGATGGTCATATTTTTATAGTTAGCTTATTTTGTGGGTATAAAAAACCTCAATCAATTGATGATTTTCTTGGCCCCTTGGTAAATGAAATCGAAATTCTGGACAAAAAAGGAATTCAGGTTAATGATAAAAATATTAAATTTGTCTTAAAAGCAATTATAGCAGATGCGCCTGCACGTGCATTTTTAAAACAAATTAAGAGTCACAATGGATACTATTCTTGTGAAAGATGCTATTGCAAGGGAGAATTTTCGGGTAGGGTTATTTACCCTGTTGGACAAAGTTACCCTTTTCATACCGAGGAAACTTTTAAAAATAAAATACATATACACCATCATGAGGTAAATACGATCTCTCCATTTGTCAAGGTTGGGATTAAAATGATTAGTCAAATCCCACTTGATTATATGCATTTATGTTGTCTCGGGGTAATGAAGAAGCTTTTAATTTTATGGTGTGAAGGTCAAATTCCTCACAGATTGTCACAAAAACAAATTCGGATTATTTCCGATAGACTAATACTGTTCCGCAATCGAATTCCGTCTCACTTTTCGCGTAAACCTAGACCTTTATCAGAGGTCAAGCACTGGAAAGCTACCGAATTTAGAAATTTTTTACTTTATTTAGGACCAATGTGTCTAAAAGACGTGCTTACCACTGAAAAATATCACCATTTTTTATTGCTTCACACATCAATTTATATTTTAGCCTCAGATTTTACCAAAAATCGCGAGTTAATAGATATGGCAAGCAGCCTGGCTAACGAATTTGTGGAGAAAATTCCCCAATTATATTACAAAGAATTTGTAGTTTTTAATGTACATTCCTTAACTCATTTAGCTGACGATGTACAACTTCATGGGGCCCTTGACAATTTTAGTGCATTTCCATTCGAAAATTTTATGCAAATAATAAAGCGTATGCTACGTTCCAAAAATGCACCGTTAGCTCAAGTGGTTCGACGGCTATCAGAAATAGATTCAGTCCCCCCTAAATTTTCTGCCCAAAAAGTAAATTCCTCTCTAACCCCATCTGCAAAACTTGGAAATAATTGTTTTATCACGCAAGATGGAAAAATTTGTGTCGTTGAGAAACATGCCAATGAGTATATGTGTCGATTTTTTTCCAACGAAACACAACCAAAATCTTATCCTATTTATTGCAAACAATTAGGGATAGGGTACGCACACAAACTGGGAATTTTACAAAAATTAGACCCCACAATTCTTTCAAGGAAGTGTATTCTTCTTCCTTGTAAAAAGAAATATTTTTTCGTTTCATTGTGTAATTCATATGAAATCAATCATACTTAGTTATGTTTATTGCAAATATATATTATAATTATGTACATATAAAATATGAATCGATTCTTGTTCGACATTCATTATAATAAATAATTTTGATTTTTGGATACGAGATTTGTAATACTTTACACATTATCATTATTTCAATGCCGAAATTTCGTTAAGTACTGTGCAACAAATAACCGGCATTTAGACAATGCTGTTAACAAGGTATTGATTAGGCAACTAAATTTCGTTGAACGAAGATCGAACCTCGTTCATTCGTTACAGGTCATCAACGCCCGATCAATACATGATCCTGTCCCATTTCGTTGCTGTTTCGGCACTAACAATGCGATGGTGTGAAGTGTAACCCTCCGATTTGGCTTAAATTTTAAAATTAGGTGGTCCAAGTCAATACAACTAACGTTTCTTCAGGCAGTTTGTGCGATGGTGAGAGTTACTCAAAATATTTGAGGTCAAAGTTCAAAAAACGGGCGACTTTTTTCAGGCGGAGTGAGAAAACTCCACTTCCAGTCTCTTCCCTTCGCTTTGATTTTCACTCCGAAAAATAATTCATTTCAACAATTTTAAATTTAATTTTTTTTGTAGAAAAATATTAATTATTCATTGTACATGTGACCATATGATTATTTTCATAAAAGTCCACAAAACAATACGATAAACTGCACCAGCTGAATTTGATGAATGTGGGATTGCCACAATTCAGGTCGCAACTAATATTTTTTTCTCTAAAACAAACGTCGTTTACATTTTTAAACTCGGGCTTTTCGTCATCACCCCATAATCCGCTCGAGTACCAACAATATCGAATCATTGGAACAAACACAGGAGCACTTAAAATACAAATTAATTGGAATAACCAACGCGTTCGAAATGGAAAGCAAGTTACGTTTTTCCATGTTTATTTGCCGTTGGCGAATTTATAAATTAACTTTATGTAAATTTGTACTAGAAATAAGTAAAAATCGCACTTATTTAATTATGAATTAAATTATGTAGAATGCGTATTAATTGCTTTTTAAGCTGTAGTTAATAATTTTTATTTTTTATTATTTTGCATCAAAGCCTGTGCTTGTGCATGAAGGCGTATGCGTGAGCGAGACACCTGCAAATCAAAGCGAGGGGAAGAGACTGGAAGTGGAGTTTTCTCACTCCGCCTGAAAAAAGTCGGCCGTTTTTTGAACTTTGACCTCAAATATTTTGAGTAACTCTCACCATCGCACAAACTGCCTGAAGAAACGTTAGTTGTATTGGCTTGGACCACCTAATTTTAAAATTTAAGCCAAATCGGAGGGTTACACTTCACACCATCGCATTGTAAGAGGTGCAGGTACCCAATCAACGCCTATCTGGCAGCTCGGGTACATAATTCAGGTTATGGAAGCCTCAAGTTTTTAAGAATACTAAAGATTACAAACTAAGTAGCTCATTCTAAAACTAGGTAGTTGCACACTTACAAATATTTTAGGATCGCCCAACTCTCTAATTTGCAACAGTGGCAGCGAACACTTCACATCAAAGAGATAACCGTGTACCTCTTCTCGATCGAAAATTTTAAACGGTCCCACGAAGAAGTGGATAACTTGATGCGACTTATTTTCCTAATGTGTACCGACTTCATGCAACAAGCGTACGTTGCAGGATTTATTTTTGTTCCGCATTTGTGAAAATATTTCCGAAATCTGTTCTAGAGATGCCGGAAATAATACGGACACTTGCATCCAAGTCATTGAAAATTGGGAAGATCTCCTTTCAGAGAAACTCAAACATCGCATCGCTCGCCTGATAGTCAAGACGAGACATTTCAAACCGTATCGATTCAATATTGCTTTGGCGTATACAGGTAAGTTCGATGTTTGCATATAGTATAAACGTGGTACCTCTTTTAATTGTTGAAATGTTCTCAAATATTTTGACAAGATTTCAAACTGCACTCTTAGAGACCTCGTATTAAAGTTATATCAAGCGGTGTTCATATACCTATGACTATACCAAAGTGGCATTGATTAGTGAGACCGTGTAGTACTACATATGGAGCTCGGTATTAAAGTTTTGCCATATCAGCAGCAAACCTGTATAATTTTTAATGCCAACCTGTAACTACTTCAATACCGAGAAATCAATGTATGCGTGACTGTACCAGATTTCGAAGTGTATTAAAGGACTTTAAACTTTGGAAAAGTTTATCATGTTCACCAACTGTGACTATGGGATTTATATCTTACTAAATATTTTACCTTATGACCAAAATCTTTGATAACAATTCAACCATTAAATTTGCCACAAAAATCCTTACGCGTCAAAATCTGAATTTAGGGCGTCAGGCAATTTTACGGAGTCTAAATGCCTTCCCGGTCACCAAGGATTGCCTCAATCTTCGTCCCTCCGAATGCAATGAATGCTTTATCACGCAGGCCCTACATCTCGTCGACATGAGCCCGGTCGACATACTCATTCGACCTGGAGGCAATTTCCGATTCTCAGACTTTATGATGTGGGAAACAAGCCAGGCTTATATTCACTTCATACCGGAAACCTGGCCCGAATTTAACTTTTGGAAACTTGTCCACGCAATATTATTGTACCAAGTGCACAGGAAAAGTGCCGAAAAAGTGGTGAGTGTATGCATAACTTTTCAAATTAATATGCGCTGTGATAAAATTCATTTTAAAATTTTCAATAATTAATTTTACCAGGATACTCCCGATGCGGAGATTGGACATAATCAGCGTAAAATTCTGGATGAAACTCGAAACCTTAGATGGGCCAGAATTGAACACCTCGCTAAAAACGATATTTGTTACGACGATGGAAACTTAGATTTCAATCCTCGTTCCAGATTTGTTCAAGCGTTTGAGAAGATCCTCCAATTTTAAAAGCATTATTTCATAGTTTATTACACCACATAAGCATTTGTGAGGGACAAAGGTCGTGTAAGCAGAAATCCTTGTAATCAGGCTTGTGTCAATTCGATTTTCTGATACATAAATCGTTGTAAATATTAAAAGCAATTAAGTTACTTATGAAAACATCCATTCTGCCGAACGCTAATTTTCGAACGGCGATTGAATCTATCCGATCAAGATTCTAACTCGTTATTTTAGAAAACTTGTCTCAGGTAAAAGTTAGACACAGTCTAACAAGAATTTATTTGACCACACACAGTGAATCGGTACCACTAAAGTCTCACCATTTCTAATTATCAAAAACGGTATCGAGTTTTTACACATATTTATGCGTCACAGATATGTCTGGCCAATCAATTACTTTACAAGTATCATTCTAAATATATGTGTAAATATGTATGTGAATACATAATAATTTGACACTGATATCACAATGAAAAAAAATTTGCAGCAAATGCATTTTTTTATCTATACTGCTGGTTGTGTGATTTCAATGTTTACATAATTGCGGCTTTTAATAGAAATATATCTTTAAGCTTTATTATTTATGTATCTTATATTTTGTTTCACTTATCAATTGACTGGACAAAAATTCTTCTTATGCAACTAAAAATTAGCGGCAATGGCCGTAAGGAAGGTGAGCTTCCTGGACACAATAATTACTGCAACAGTTCCCCCAACCACCGTCCGCCCTACACGGCTGCCCGGATGGAATGCAAGCCTGAAATTAATAAATAGTTACAAAAAATATACATTTAAGATAAAATAATAAATATTTCTAAAATTTGTACCTGTGCAACGCAAAGTAAGGCGAAAATAACGATGAGAACCGTGACCGCCTTCGCTACGGAGTTTGAGTAAAATCCCATCTTGCTAATGTATTTTTTAGTAAGTTTGGAGAAACTTAAAAGATATTAAGTTGCTTTGTGTGTGGCAAATGTAAGTATGATTTTGTGTTACCAAAAGCTCCACGTATTTATACTCGTCCAGTATTTGAAAGTCAATTAAGTTTTCGTATCAAGTATACATTTTGTTGACAGGTTTTAATTTTTGGAACTTGTTATTGGCGAAGAACTGTTGTTGTTGTTCTGGAATATGCGATGCTTGAATTCTGAAAAAATCGAGACGATATCAAAACGGTCTTTGTTTAATTGCATGCAATCTGTCTGTCCAGTTTTCAGACGAAACATGATTATCAATGTTTGATGATAATGCATTTGC